AAAGTGCGTAGCAGACTCTACTATGGAAGCCGAGTACATCGCAGCCTCTGAGGCAGTGAAAGAGGCAGTTTGGCTAAGAAACTTCTTGGTGGACTTAGAAGTGATTCTGAGTTCGCCACGTGTTATTACCGTGTACTGTGATAACAGTGGCGCAGTAGCAAACTCTAGGGAACCACGAGCCCACAGAGCAAGCAAAAACATAGAGCGCAAATACCACCTTATCAGATATATTGTGGCAAGAGGAGAAGTTGAGATCACCAAGATTGCATCAGAAGACAACCTAGCTGATCCTTTTACGAAGAGTTTGCCGGAGAAGGTCTTCGCCAAACACGTAGAGGGAATAGGAGTCAAATGTATGGTGATAGGATCGACATAGGTCTTTTAGGAAACGGATTGATAGGACTATACTAGTAAAGCGGCAGCTTTTAGTATAAGTGGGAGATTGTTGGTGTTATATACTTAAGCTTTGTTTTAGTGGATATTACACTTGTTATTTCTTGATGAATGAGAATTATGTTTGGTTAAATAAGTTCCACGTTCTGTTGTTTTGCATGTAGATAAGTGGGTCGTCATCGGGCGTACCGAAGATCACTATATCAGTTATTTGCGAAACAAGAATCATTGGTTCACAACCTAGATGGAATTGAACAACCCATCTGAACGGTTGTAGTGTCAAATGTACGGTTTGTCTTGACCGATTAGTTGCGCTAGTACATTTATGTATTGAACAGGATCCCAGAGAGGGATGTTCTTTTTATGCTAATCGTCCTAACAAACTAGGCCTCAGTTAATTATTGCATGCTCTTAACCCGTAAGATATTAAATAGGCATGTGCACATAATTGTTGTTGCTTTGATTCTTTGGGTGAGATCCAAGCCGAGTCGACATACTTAATGAATTGGGTAATGACATTATGTGTTCGATGTGCTATTAGGATATTTACGGTCACCATTGTTAGAGGTATGCTGTAAAAGCTGTGTTTTGCAGTTTCGATCAATTCCATTTTGATCTGGCAATCATGTTTCGGTCAAAG